CACATGTGCCCGAGTGCATAGCCACACCCAGGAGATAGCAGAAGGCTTTACATTTCTAAATGTGGTTCTCACCTGTGTTCTCTCCCAACTGCCAGGGAAGTTGCACCTCCATGAACCAGTTAAAGCAAGGGATGTCGGTGTGAATGGGAGAGTGGCAAAGGCCGCTGGGGGAGTGCAAGGGCCGAGGGAAGCAAGAGGCAGGAGGCACTAGGAATTCACAGGGAATGAGGAGGCCATGACAGTCGTGGCATGAGGAACAGCTCTGGGCACCAGGTGAGCGCATGGTGGTGAGATGGGTGGAAATCTGGCTCGTGCCCCTGAGGAGGCCATTGTGGACACGGGTGTGCACAACTCAGGCAGGGGTGGGGGGGTGCGGATGCAGGTCTGTTCTGGGATTGAGGGACGACCCCAGGGCACCTCAGTCAAGGGAGCTGCCTGGGAAGCCTCAGGTGCCATTTAAAACCATAGGAAGGAAGAAGTCACCCCAAGGAGCCACCTGCTGAGAACAGAAACAGAGTGGGAGGGTTTCCTGAAACATCTGGGCCTCAGAGAGGTCTGGTGACACTTTGATAATCCAGAGAAACAAAGATGTGGCATCCACAATGCACCAAGAGCTATGCTGGTACATTACCTTATTAATTCTGATAATAACCCTGTGAGGGGGTGTTCTTCACATTTTGGAGATAAGGGCACTGAGGCCCAGGCTCTATAAGACTTGGTTGGCATCTTGGTTTGCACGTCTGCACCTGCCCTGCACCCTGTGCAGATCGTCAGAGATGCCTGCTGTGCTGGCTGCTCATCGCTTTCCTTGTGACGAAGCTGCCCCAGCCAAGGGAGGGCTGCACTCAGCTGGGCTTAACGCACCTCTCTGCAGAGGGGTCCGGCCAGGGACTGAGTTAACGTGGATTCTAGAAAAAAGAATTCCAACAGCTGGAAGATGCGAGATTGTGGGGAAAGTGACTAAGCTGGGCTTTAACCAACAAATGGGGAGCTGGGAGGACTTCGCAGACAGAAACTTGAGCTAGGACTTGAACTTGGGGCGAGACAACACTAGATTAAGAATAGAAGAAAGGGCATTCACGGCAGGGGGTCAGCAAGAGCAGAAGCGTGGAGACAGGTGTGGCACACCGATGCCTTGGGATCCATGGGGAGGCCAGCCTGGTTCCAGGAGCTTGGCCTGGGGAAGGGTAGTGAGTTGTCCTAGAGAAGAGGGGGGAGTAGATAGTTGTCGGTGCCAAGCTCTGGGGCCTGAACTTGCAGGTTATTTAGAACCAGAAGCAAATGAACTGTGTCTCCTCCTGCCGTCCAGTAGCAAAGGTGCTGCAGAAAACCCACCTCCTGAGTCACAGCCTGGAGCCCTCGGAGACGGGACAGCAGCAGCCTCATGTGGGCTCTTGAGCTGTCTGGCTAAAAGATGCGAGCCCAAGACACTCAGTGGTTTTTAAACCATCGGAATATTTGTGTAGCTTTTAAAACAAATCCCTGCTTGGGTCCCTTGGCGATTCCGGTTTAGTGAGCCCGGGCTGAGGCCTGACATCTGAAGTTTTTAAAGCAGCTCAAATGAGTTTGCCCTTCCCTGAGTGACAACCTCACAGCAGAGTGGTTCCTTCCTGAGGGTAGGTACACCTGGCTAGAGCAGTGTCAGACCAGTTTGGGCTACAGGAAGGAGGGTTCAGGTACAAGGGATTTAGGGCTCAGAAATACGTCTTCTTTTCCCTGGGAAGTTTTATTTTCCTTTGGTAGGAAAATTTTAAATCACTTCCATTTTTTAGTGACACGGTTGCTCTGCATCTGCCCAAACTGTTATAATAAACAAACAAGACATTTGAACATGTGCTGGGTTTTCTCAAGCTAATACCACATGCCGCCATCTCCAGCCAAGAGTGAGCACGTTAGCCTCGCAGAAGGGGAACAGGTGTTTGAGAGCAAGAACTCGGAGGACCGGACGGGCCCTTAGTCACTGGGGAAGGAAGCCGGGGGTGGGGGTGCCTGACCCCAGGCCACATGTTTGTTTGTGGTGGAGCTAGGTTTAGGAGCCAGGCCTCTGGCTTCTATTTTTTTTTTTTTTTTTGAGACAGAGCCTCAAGCTGTCCGCCTGGGTAGAGTGCCATGGCATCACAGCTCACAGCAACCTCCAACTCCTGGGCTCAAGCGAGTCTCCTGCCTCAGCCTCCCAAGTAGCTGGGACCACAGGTGCCTGCCACAGCACCCAGCTATTTTTTGGTTGCAGCCGTCATTGTTGTTTTTGGTGGGCCTGGGCTGGATTCGAACCCGCCACCTTAGGTGTATGTGGCTGGTGCCTTAGCCACTTGAGCCACAGGCGCCAAGCCAAGCCTCTGGCTTCTGAGCAGGATTTCTATCAAAGCTGAGTGACCTGGCCAAGGCCCTCCACAATGAATGGCAGGGCTGGGATGGGGACTCAGGTCTGTCTGACGCCAGGGCACATGCAAGGGCCTCTGCCTTTGAGGCATTTCTGTTCTCAGAGAGCGGCCACACCCAGACAGTGAACGAAGTGAGCCGTGAGGGTGCACAAAGCAGCCTGGGGAGGGGCCGCCTCCTCCCCCACACACTGATTCAGCTGTGGGGTGATTGTCTGCTTTCCTGTCACTCTTCTCCACAGCCTGTGAACCGTCCCGTGGCCATCGCAGTATCTGCCGTGCCCAGCATGGGCCAAGCACCCAGAAGGCATGACATGGGATTACAGAAATCATTAATTCACTGGACAGATATTAATGAGCACCTACTATGCTCCAGGCACATGGCCAGGTGCTGCCACCCCAGAGCTGAATCTCAACATAGCAGCACCGCCAACTTCGCAGAGCTTAATCTAGTGGAAGGTAAGACACATGTGAATACGCCTAGAATGACAATGTATGGCAGGTGCCGGGGCAAAGGAACAGAAGGGAGGAAGGACAGCTGGATGGCGTGAAGGAAGACGTCAGGGAGGCCTCTCTAAGGAGGTGACGTGCAAGTTGAGGTCAGAAGGAAGAGAAGGAGGAGACGGAGGAGGATTATGACACTGGGGAAGCGTGTTCCACGCAGAAGGAACAGCATGTGTGCAGACCCTGAGGCCGGGCAGCGCTTGGTCTGCTCTGGGACTCCAGTGGAGCAAGGTGAGATGAGTGGGGAGGCAGAGGCAGAATCAGCTGGGGCAGTGGGGGGTCGGCTAAGGGCGGGGAGGGAGAGAGAACACCCTAGGGGCTTGCCTGACACCTGGGCAGACTGAGCCGCTTTTCTGGACCAGCAGAAAATAAGAAAAGGGGTTGGTTTACTGGGTAAAAAGTCTCAAGTTGGTGACATTAAACTTCAGATGCCTGTGAACCATCCACATGGAGATGTCAAATACAGCAGAACCTCCATAGCTGGCCATCTCCCCTCCCTGACACCTTCTCAAGTTGACCTAATTTTTATAGATTGGACACGCACCACATGTATGTAGGTGGGGTTCCTTACGTTGACCACCTCTGTATGCTGACCAGCTTGCTAGAGTCCTGGGGGGGTGGGTCACTGTATAGAGGTTCTAGTTGGTTAATCACGTGTGGAACTTGGAGGAGGGATCTGGGAGGTGGGGCTGTATCTGGGAGTGCTGGGCTTGTAGGTTGGAAAAGCCTACAGGGTTAGAGCCTACACATCAAAGCCACAGGGCTAGAGAAGAAAGGGCCTGAGAAACCTCCATGTTTGGAAGCTGAGTAGAGAGAGAAACTGGGATGGAGGAGCAGAGAGCAGCACAGTGTCAGGATTGGGGAAGGCCACAGGGAGAGTATTTCTTGAGGGCACACTTGATTAGCTGTGCAGAGGTCACATGGGAGAATCCCAAGTGTCTGTTAGATTTAGCAACATGGAGGTCGCTGGTGACCTTGATAGATTCACCGACTCAGTGAATGACTCAAACGATGCATAAAGAGGAGACAAGAACCAAAGCAGGCTGAGGAGTCAGGGAAGGCTTCCTGAGGGAAGTGGCATTCGGCAGAGCCTGGAAGGCTGCGTCCTAAGACTTAATTGCTGCTGCAAGAGCCTCCCTGGGAGAGCACAAAGTCCCAGTAACTGGCACCCTTGGCCTAAGGAGCAATATCTCTACCTTGCGAGAGAGAGAGGGCAGAGGAGCTGGCTCCCCTCTCAGCAGCAGGAAGGCTGGGAGGCTGTCCCCAGGGGACAGAGCCCACTCACACTCCCAGGACTCAGGGCTTGTCCAATTTCCTCCCCGCAAATGAGTCTTGGGAGGTGAATATTCCAAACCCAAGGCCTCAGAGCAAAAGTCTTTTAGATACCCCCAAAGGCAGGAGCTCATTGTACAGCTGGAAAATCTGAGACCCAGAGAAGGGCAGGGCTTTCCTAAGGTCACCTAGCACATCAGTGGTAGAGGCCAAGTGATCTCCAATGATTTCCATGGAGAATGACTTGGCCTACTGGGGATAGTCTAAATTTTTTAGCTGGGTGTTCAAGATCTTTCACAATTGAACAAGAGCCCCACCCTCCAAATTCACCTTCCACTACCCTTCCCTCTACCCCCTGAGACCCCGCCTCCTGAACACTTAGCATACACAAACATGCAGTCTCCATGACAGTCCTATGAAGTAGAGAGGCTTGATAACTTGTCCCAGGCTACACAGCCAGTTCAGTACACAGATGAGCCCATCCGTCATCTTTGGAGCATCTGCAGAGTTAGCTGTCTTTCCTCTGCCTTGTGGCTGCAAGCAGCCAAGAGCCCCTCCTCTGGGAAGGCATCCTTGAACTCCCTGGCCTTGAGCTAGCCTGTAGTCAGGTCATGCCTACGATTCTAAATCAGCTCACTAAAAAGCCACTGAATGAGAGCGAGTAATTAGTGTCACTGAATGACCTGGAATCCAGCAGCCCATGGCACTGTCCATAGGGGCTCACAGCCCCACTTCTCTCTGGGCCTGCAGGTGCCATCAGCCACGTGCAGCAGGTGCGAGGCACCGACAGCCTCTGCCCTCCCCTCTCCCCGCCCCCAGCCCACCTAGCCAAATCCTGCCCCTCACCTGGAGACCACCAGCGGTAGGATGAGCATCTTCAGCATTCTCATCAGGAGCTCCCCCGGGAACTGGAAGTAACTGATCTCCTGAAAACACAGCAAGAGCTGGGTCACGGTGGGTGTCGCCTCTGCACCATCTCACCTGCATGCTCCTGTGTCCTTGGGAGAAGAACTTGCTTTGGAGCCAAACAGACCTGGATCCAACCCTGGCAACCCCCACTCCACCCAAAACAGCTGTGTGGCCTTTAGCATCTTCTGTGAGAGCTCTGAGTTTTGAGTTTTCCTCGTCTGCCACACGAGGTCAATAACTACCATAGTCTCCTCTTATTCTCAGGGCACATGTTCCAAGCCCCCCAGTTTCTGCCTGAAACTGCTGATAATCTAAACCCTCTAAATACTATGTTTTTTCTATAAATACATATCTATGATAAAGTTTAATCTACTAATTAGGCTCAGTAAGAGATTAACAATAATAAGGAATACTGTAACAGAACAACTAGAGCAATATACTGTAATAAAAGTTAAATGGATGTGCTCTCTCTCAAAATATCTTACTGCACATTAACTCACCCAGTTTTGGACCAACCTTGACCCCAGGTAACTGAAAACATGGGAAGTGAAGCCATGGATAAGGAGGATGACTCGCGGGCTCAGGGGGCCATTGAATGAGAACTCCCTGGATGAGCTTGAATGAGAGAATGAACCCAAGCTCTCAGCACAGGGCCGGGTGGGAGCAAATGGGCAGGCATCCCAGCTAATGACGGCGCTGGCTACATCTGCACCACTCGACCGCCTGCCCAGCACATAAACTGTGTCTCATGCAGCAGATGGGAAGTGGCAAGAGGGCAGGGCCGCACTTTGTCCACACTGTGGACATTCATTCAACCCACACTGTGCCAGGCATCATTGTGGGTACCCCAAAATGAATCAGCCATAGCTCCTGCCCCAGAGAAGTTCCCAGCCTAGTTAAGGAGGAGGCCTCCCGAAGAGTCATTTTCTCTATCTGCTTGGGCCTGTTCTCTGGGGCTTCTCCCCTATGTGCTGAAGAAGGATTGGATTGGATCGGTGAGATGCCACTCAGGATTAGAAGCCCCTGTGAGGTGAGGTTCCTACTTCTGGCCCCTTCACAGGCTGCTGGCTCCAGTTTATCCACAGATCTTTGTCTGGGGCACCAAATCCTTGCCCAGTCAGCTGTTTCCTAAAAACAGGGCCACGTGGTCAGCACCTGACCACTGAAGCTGAAGGGACTGATAAGCCTGGTGAAATCAGATTTTCAGATAACAATTAATTTAGTCTTTGCTTACACTCAAAACAATTATTTATTGTTTATCTGATAGTCCGATTTACCTGGGTGTGCTATTTTTTAATTTAATTCAGTTTTGCTATTTCTGGCAGCCCTAAGCTGGGGGCCACTTTCTTCAGAGGGTGAGGCATGTTAAATTTTGGTACCTGCAACTTTTTTTTTTTAACCAAAGCCAAACATACTTGGCTAATGATCTGATGCTTTGAAAAGCCCTAAATTGCGGAATGTTGGTGCTGTGACAATGTGGTACAAAGCACATCCTCTAGTCTAGGCCACCAGTTCACGGAGGAGGAAGCTGAGCCCGGAGAGGGGTGATTTGCCAACCAAATGTCAGCCCCATTCTGCTACCATGTCAGTGCACCAGAAAATCTGCTTTTGAAAGAAATATACCCACCATGACTATGTTTTTAATTAACTTTAATCCATGTCTGTATTTTTTTAAGTTAAAAAGTGCTCTAATGATAAAAAATTCAGCTCCTTCTTTGCCTCTGCTTATTCCTCACCCCCCACTTCCCAGGAGTAAACGTCCCCAAGTCCTCTAATTATTTCCCCTAGTACCGATATTTCTAAATATTACGGTTGTGGTTCTATTCCTTTTTAAACTCTAATTCCATAACAGATTATATAATGCTAGCTTTTTTTTTAAAGGGTTTTTTTATTTATTTAATTTTATTTTTGTTGTTGTTGAGACAGAGTCTCATTATGTCGCCCTCGGAAGAGTGCTGTGACATCACAGCTCACAGCAACATCTAACTCTTGGGCGTAAGTGATTCCCCTGCCTCAGCCTCCCAAGTAGCTGGGACTACAGGTGCCCGCCACAATGCCCGGCTATTTTATGTTGCGGTTGTTGTTTAGCTGTCCGGGGCTGAGTTCAAACCCGCCACCCTTGGTGTATGTGGCTGGTGCTGTAACCACCGTGCTATGCGGCACTGAGCCGATAATGCTAGTTTTTGATTCATCATTTAGACATCTATTAAACTCCCTGCCATGATTATGAGGACTTAGCTCCTATCCCCTTTTCCCTCCTCCGATTTCATCATTACATTTATATCAAAATTTGGGCAAATCAATAGTCAAAGTTTATAATAGGTTCATTGCGATGTGCTGTTAAGCCAAGTAATGCGTTAGAATCACGGCTTCTTGTTTGTACAACATTCATTTTCCCTCTGAAGTTGATTGACTGATTTTTATTTGCCTTATTTTCTGGGAATCGCCCACTCATTTCTTCCAAACATTTTAACATGTCTATCAAAATAATTAACAGAACACTGTCTGTCACCGTAGGGTAAAATTATCTCAAGATGGATTAAAGACTTCAATGAAAGACCCCAAACCATAAACATTCTAGAAGAAAACCTAGGAAAAACTCTTTTGGACCTTGGCCAAGCAAAACATTTGTGACCTACTATTTGATCCAGCCGTCCCACTTGTGGCTATCTACACAAAGGAAAAGAAATCAGTTTATAAAAACGATACGTGCACCTGAATGCCTAGCCCAGCGAGATTCACAATCGCAACAATACGGAACCAACTTAAGCGCCCCTCGACTGTGAGTGGATAAAGAAAATGTGATGTATTAATATATATACAAGGGTGTAGAACTCAGCCACCAAAAGGGGTGAAATAATGTTCTTTGCAGTAACTTAGCTGGAACTGGAGACCATTATCCGAAGTGAAGCATCTCGGGAATGGAAAAACAAATACCACATGTTCTCATTCATCAGCGGGAGCTCAACTAGGGATATATGTGGTCACAAAGTGGTGTGATGGACGTTGAAAACTAAGAAAGGGAGAGCGGGAGGGGAAGGATAAAAATTCATAGTTTACAGTGTAAACTATTCCAGGGATGGGTACTCCGAACGCCCTGACTTCAGCAGGATGTAATTCATCCATGTAACAAAAGACACTTGTTCCCCCTAAATTTGTATTTAGTGCTTTCTCCACACTCGAGCGCATCAGTTCCCTTTTCTCCCACCCTGGAGCTCAGTCCAGGAGCTCTCCAGCTTTGTGCTCTGGTCTGAAAAGATGGCTCTCCAGGCCCAGTGGTGGTCCTGGTTCTCCACCGTTATGCGGGACTGTGTGCTGGGTTTATTTTATTTTATTTTAAGACAGAGCCTCAAGCTGTCACCCTGGGTAGAGTGCAGTGGCATCACAGCTCACAGCAACCTCCAACTCCTGGGCTCAAGCGAGCCTCCTGCCTCAGCCTCCCAAGTAGCTGGGACCACAGGTGCCCACCACAACGCCCAGCTATTTTTTGGTTGCAGCTGTCATTGCTGTTTGGCAGGCCCAGGCTGGATTCGAATCTGCCAGCTCAGGTGTATGTGGCTGGTGCCTTAGCTGTTTGAGCCACAGGCACCGAGCCTGTGCTGGGTTTATTAATTTGCTGGAACATCTCTTTCTGTAGCTTCCTGAGTAGAGGTGCATGGCGGAGAAACTTAGTTCTGAGTCCTTTATTCTGTCTTTATCTCTGGCAATAGTTTGGCCGTAGGGTAAGATTCCCAGTTGAAAATAATTGCCCCTTCACGTTTTGAAGGCATTTCTCCGTTATCTTCTAGTTTCTGGTGCTGCTTAAGATGAGTAAAGCCGTCCTTGCTGCCTACTCCTCCCATGGACCTGTTTTATCCACAGAATCGTTTGAGGATTATTTATCTCCACCTTTCTGTAGTTTCAAGGTGCTGTGTGCTTCTCTTTCACTTTTTTTTTTTTTTTTTTTTGCAGTTTTTGGCCAGGGCTGGTTTTGAACCCGCCACCTCCGGCATATGGGGCTGGCACCCTACTCCTTTGAGCCACAGGTGCCTCCCCTTCCCTTTTACTTTTAAGAGGCTTTCTTACATTCTCTGCAAATTCTGTCCTCACTACCATTTTCTCTGTTAGAAACTGTTATAAGATTGTTGGTGTTGAACATTCCAATTTTTTTTTTTTGAGACAAAGCCTCAAGCTGTGCCCCTGGGTACAGTGCCGTGGCATCACAGCTCACAACAACCTCCAACTCCTGGGCTCAGGCAAATCTCCTGCCTCAGCCTCCCAAGTAGCTGGGACCACAGGCACCTGCCACAGCGCTTGGCTATTTTTTGGTTGCAGCTGTTGTTTTGGCGGGCCCGGGCTGGATTTAAACCTGCCACCTCAGGTGTATGTGGCTGGCACCTTAGCTGCTTGAGCCACAGGCGCCGAGCCTGAACATTCCAATTTTCTTTTCTTTTCTTTTATCTTCTGAGACAGAGTCTCACTATGTCCCCCTGGGTAGAGTGCTGTACTGTCACAGCTCACAGTAACCTCAAACTCCTGGGCTCAAGCGATTCTCTTGCCTCAGCCTCCCAAGTAGCTGGGACCCCAGCCCCCACCACAACACCCGGCTATTTTTTGGTTGTAGTTGTCATTGTTGTTTGGCGGGCCCGGGCTGGATTCGAACCTGCTGACTCCGATGTGTGTGGCTGGTGCCCCAGCCGCTGGGCTACAGGTGCCAAACCTCAATTTTTTTATATTTTCTTTTTTCATTTTCATCTCTTTGCGTTTTACTTTCTGGGAGATTTCTGCAACTTTATCCCAGCTATTGACATTTTTTTCCCTTGGGTCTTATATGTATTTTTAATTTCCCCAAACTCTTCCTCGTCCTCTGCCCTCTCCTTTGCATCCCATTCTGTTTCCCAGTAACGGTACCCTCTCTCACAGCTCCCAAGAGCGTACAAAAAGATGGAAAAGTTTCCTTCTACTGCCTGTGTTGTCTCCGCGGCCTCACAAACCTTTTCTCTTTGTTTAGTCTCTTTCACATTAACAGCTTTTCTAAAATTTCCAGTGATTTTGGCTTTGTGCACGTACATAAGTCCAAGGAGCTAACCCTCTGTGTATGTGAGCAGGGCTTGCAAACAGATGGCCCCTCAGCACACAGAGACGGGTGATGAATGGCTTTTTCACTGGAGCTGGGTGGGATGGCAGGAGAATCTCCCTAATAGTGGAATTTAGAAATCTTTTCTCTGAAGCTTCAACAAAATAAGTCTCTTCCTACCTTTGGCTGGGGAACTGGGCTATGCCCAAGCTAGACTGACAACAGTTTGTAAACTAGGGGGCTCACATTCAGAATGCAGGTGTCTGCTCTTTAACTTGAAGCAGGAGCTTCACCATCGGCCCCTCCCCACACACGCAGGGGGGCCTAACATCCCCAAGGCAAGTTTCTCTGGTTCCTTGGGGCAGGCAGTGGGGTAGAGATGGGTGGATGAGGAGTCTCCTGACTATGGGAACTGCAAGGGCCTAACTTCTCTGGTTAGAAAATTCTGACTGCTTTTAACTCCCTGCCTCCCCCTCTGCACTTTCAAGTCCAGAGCCCTTCTGGAGTTGTGTAAGACGAACTGACTTGGTATCAACTTCTACAGACGTAAGATTTTAGCTTCCTGTGTTCTACTAAATGAGCTCATTCAATTCATCCACTTCCATATTGCTTAATTGGACATTGTCTCTTAATTTCTTTTGTCGGCTATCTCCTTTTATAATCTCTTAGTTCCTGATGGTTTTTATCTTTCAAACATTCCATTACTATAATAATAGTGGAATTCCAGGCAGGAGAAGAAAATGGATGCGTTTGTGATTTGCCATTGTTTGGCTTGGAAGTCTCAAAATGGAATGCCCGTAATTTCCAGATGGTTGAAATTTTTAAATGAGATATTCCAGAGATAACAAGTCTGTGATCTTTCTAAGTTCTTTTCGCAAATAGAACATTCCACCATTTTCCAAATTGTTTATGATTTTTGCTTGTTGCGTAAGCCTACAAAATAAGAAGGGTTTAGTTTCTGAGTTACAGGCAAGGAGATCAAACAGAAAAATCCTGGATTTCAAAGTAAGATGCTGAGAAAGCCAATTCCTGCCAAATAATTGTCCTAAGACTCCATATCCTTCCTTGGATTTATCTGGCAGGTTAATCCAGACCGGAATACATTTGCATTTCCAAACAGATGGGGAAGACAGCTTTGGCAAAGGAGGCTACAGATGAGTTTGGCTTTTAATAACAGGCATTCACAATTTGTTTTCACAAAATAATCTTCCTACAGTAATTTTTTGTTGTTGTTGTTGAGGAAAATTAAAGAGAGCGGATTGCAGATCGTTATTCCATTTCTAGCTAATTACAGCAAATAGTTGCGTGTTCTCTCTTTTCCCTACCCTGATCTAGGCTCACGTTCCAGAAAACCCATGTTCAGCAGTTCACAGTCTGTCGGGAAACGGATCCCTACATAATAGGCTCTAAGGCGAGGCAGTGGGCAGGTGGGTTAAGGGATGTGCTTGGCCTGAGTGTGGGAGTATTATTTCAGATGTAGACAGGTCTGAAAAGGCTTTCTTTTATAAGACATGGAATGTGAGGTGGTTCCTGATGTAGGTAGGAATTTGACAGCTGATAAGGGAGAGAGGGGTGAATTAACAATCAGTTAGCACTTACTGTATGCTGGGCACTGATGGATCTTTGATTTATCCCTAAAAATAATTCTAGTAGGCATATCGCTTCCCTATTCTACTTTACAGATAAGGAAACTGAGGTCCAGGGATGAGATGGGATTTTGCTCAGCCATGTATAGAGTCAAAGTTCAGGGTTCCTTTGGTTCCAGAGTTCAAGCTTCTCCCTAAATAACTGCTCAAGGCTTAACAGGGTTATTATAGTAATAACAGGCTCAAGTCCAGACAAAGTCTGATTCCTTGAGCCCCATAGGCTGGTTCCATATAGCGTTCACCTTCAGTGAGGTGCAGGAAGAGGGGTTTTGTGGAATGGAAAACCTCTCAGGAATCCATTGACAAAGACCCTCTCCTTGACCAAACTTGAGACGCCTGAACCAAAACCTACCCCTGAACCATCTTTTCAACTGATTTTTGTCCTTGTGGGCTGGGCTGTGGCCTGTATAGTCCAGTTGTAGTAAGAATCCTGCCAACTCAGTTTAGTGACGACGGCCACCCTTCCTCCTCTTATCTGGTGAGATTCCTCACCCCACTCTCAATGTGGGGGTCACCCTGGCTTGCCTTCAGCAAGGCTCTCCCAGCCTGGGTGTCTCCTGGTAATTATCCACCCACTGACCCCCTCACTCACTCCTTGGCTTCGAATGCCCATGTCTTTGTGTATCTGCAGATGGGTCCTATGTCTCTCCCACAGGAGGTCTTGACCTATGGCAATAGTCCCGAATAGTCTTCCTGACCATAACAAGTATCAGAATAATGTTTCTTTAACACTGTGGAATGTCCCTCCCTCTCACAGAGGGGACTAGCTGAGAGGGGAAAGGGGCCCTTTCCCAGGTAGGAAGCTCCACCGTGATTGTCACGTGGGAAAGTCGGGCCTCCGTGCCTTCCTGTCCCCCAGCCCCACACTCCATCCTGCCCAGCCTCAGGGTCCCCTTTAGGAAACAGTTCTCCTGTCCTCCCCTTTCCTCCATCCCATGTCTCCCTGACAGCTGACCTCATTTGCCTTCCTACCCACCCCACCCTGCACACAATACTTGAGGGAGCTCCCCAGAATTCAGATCCGACCATGGCACTCTTCCACTCACCAGCTTCTCATGGTGGCCCCAAGTCTCTGCTTGGTGGTGGGGCCAGCGGGCCTGCGGGCGCCAAGCTCCAGCCCCTGCACCTGGCTCCTACTGTCTCCTCTGCCTAGAAGGCCCTTCCTGGATCTCTTGTCATCTGAGCTGCCTTTCAGAGGTGTTCTCTGGAGCCTGCTCTGACTCGTGTAAAACCCTATCCTCCCCCCACCACAGGTCCTAGCCCTGCAGTTGTTCTAATGAGACATCCTTGCCTCTCAGTCACCCGGTCATCCTGGGATTGTAATCCTTTCCTCGGCGTAGTCCTGCAAGGTTTTTATCACACCCGTGTTACAGAAGAGAAAACTGCCACCCAGAGAGGCAAAGGGACTCACACACCGACATAGCTCCAGGGGGTGTGGAGTGAGATCCCCGCAGACCCACACACCCCTGAGATGCTCCAGGGGACTGACCTGTGGTGAGAGCCGTCGGGTCCTCAGGAAGAAGCCGAGGAGGCAGCCCACGATGACCGACAGCACGGACAGGATGAGCAGTCCATTCCGCCTGCACACGTCCCTCCCCCGCGCCAGGACGGCCCCCGGCACCATGGTGAGCCTGGCCCGCTGGCAAGGGGCACAGCACCATTCCATGCACGTGAGGCCAGCCGGGGGCACAGGGTCTTGGCAGAGGGCCCTGGCTCCTCAGCAGTTGCCAGTCGCCAGCCCCACGGCCATGGCCTGTGCGGCCGCCCCAGAGGGAAGCCACAATCCTATTACCAGCTGCATCATTAGGGGCTGGGAGCAGATTAGGGCCCGGGAAATTAGAGCAGGCCATGTGGTCTGGGAGTTTGGACCTCAAAGCCAAGCGCTCCTCTTTAACAGAGGGGTGGACCAGGTACGGGTGGAGGAACCAGGGAAAGATTTGCTTGGTTGGTTTAATTTTACCCCCACTTAATTCCAGAAAGAATGGAAAGCAAGGCAATAAAACACCAGTCATTGCCAACACTCAGTAGCACTTACCGTGCACCAGGTGCCGTTCTAGAAGCATTTTGCTGTGTCAGCATATGAAACGGCAGCACCAATCCCGAGAAGTAAACGCTACCAATATCACCATTTTACAGGGGAAGGATCCAAGGAGGCTGAGTAGTGAGCAGGCACCGTGTGGGCCAAGCCTGGTTTGGTGGCTTCACCTGTGCTAATCAGAGGGCGTCATACCAGAGTCCCTTGGCCAGAGCTAGCAAGCAGCAGGGTAGAACTGGGACCTAAGTCAGTTTGGTTTCCGCCACATGAACCAGTGAATGGGTTCAAAGGCCCTTGGTGGTATTGTGGAGAGTGAGGATTTTGAGTCCAGCGGACCTGTGTTCAAACTTGGGCTGTGCCTCTCACTGTGTAATGGGGGTGCGTATTCTTCAGGGCTGTTTTAAGCTTAACCCTGGGCACCCAGTAGGTCTTCAGGGTCTATTATTTTTATTAAAGATGACCAAGTCCCAGAAACCTGTGTTCAAGTCCCTGCTCCATCACTTACTAGCTGTGTGACTCTGGACAAGCCATTTCATCTCACTGTGCCTGAGTTTCAAAGAGATAATATTCATCATCCAAAGAGATAATATTCTAGAGAGATAATGACAGCATCTGCTTCAGTAGGGCCAGTACAAAATTCCACCTGGAGAATGTTCAGGAGAGTTTTGACGTGCTGAGCAGGGAAGAGGGCTGTTAGGATGATCATTCTACTTAGTGCTTTGGGGAAACGGTTTCTTTTTTGCTATTTCTTGTGGCCTGGATTGCCCTGTAAAGCCAGGGAGAATTAACCCTCGTCTATATCACCAGGAATCTGTAATCTCATTAGGGGCAGTTGGGCGACAGCAGGAAGAGCCGTCTGCAGTAGGGGTGGGGACATATCAGGGAGGGGTGTGCACAGGGGATGGGGAATGGAGAGGATGGGGCAGGGCACAGTCCTGAAACTGTGGGCTCCACACTGGGAGGAGACACTTGGATTCTGGTCCCAACCAGAATCGGCTCTGTGACCATGCCTTCTCTGGGGCTCAGTCTTGCCCCTTTTAGAATGAGAGAAATGGGCCGGGTGCCTTCTCAGGAACTTCAGTTCAACAAACCAAACTGCGAAGTCCCTGCTGGGCAGCAGCTTGGGGTGGCAGGTGGGGCTGGTTACAACTCTCAGACATTTTTTTCCCCAACTCTGACCTTAAAACCAAGCGTTTCCTACTACACCGTCCACTCCCACAAATGCCTCATTTTGTGATTAACTAGGAGGTTAATGGCTGCCTAGAAAACATTCAGAGTAGATATTTGCATTTGCATTTGATCCTGACTTTCAGCTGTGCCATGGAGTAGGCGAGTGAGTCTTGCTTTCCACTCCAGCTCCAAGACTGGGACTCTCAGGATGTTCCTCGCAATCACTGCTGTCTCATTCTCCCCCAGACTCTGACCCTCCCGCCACCTGCCTCCCAGACCCCAGGCCTTTCTTTCCCACTTGCATTCTAGCAAGTGTTCTTCTAGCACCGTTTAGTGACCCACCCCACCCCGGGTACTGGGGAACACAGGAGACACAGCAGCTACCCTCGGAGAGCTTATAAGAAAATTGGGAGGGTCTAAGAAAAGACAAATGAATGTCCACTTATGGGTGACTAATAAAAAGTTCTTCACCAAGGATATTTCTAAATCAAATCCAAAGGCTCCGGGCTCAGAACACTTCCATAGCTCACTGTTGTCTAAGAAGCAACTGCCTTCTGCAGTGTTACTAGATATGCAAACATTTTTTCCATAATTACATAAAAAACAAGTTTGGGAAATGTTTGATGAAACAAAATCACACAAGTTCTTTACAAGACAGCTCAAAATCAGACTGCTGGAGTTAAAAATCTTAGTAATACTGCTTACTAGCTGTGCAACTGTAGGCAATTATTTTTTTTTGAGACAGTCTCACTTTGTCACCAAAGGAGCACCATCGTGTCATAGCTCACAGCAACCTCAAACTCTTGGGCTCAAGTGATCCCCTTGCCTTAGCCTTCCGAGTAGCTGGGGCCACAACACCTGGCTTGTTTTTAGAGACAATGTCTTGCTCTTGCTCAGGCTGGTCTTGAACTCCTGAGCGCAAGCAATCCACCTGCCTCAGCCTCCCAGAGTGCTGGGATTACAGGCATGAGCTGTGCTGGGCCTATGGTGGGCAAATTTGTTAACTTCTCTGTAAAAGGATAATACAACAGCACTGAGTTCACACACAGGGATGCACACTGCCTGCTCAGAGCCCTCCCCAGGGCCTGGCAGGTACTCACAGGTAGTAGCTGTTCATTTTGGCCAAGTCTTTGTAATAGTAGCCTGTGTTGAAGGAAGTTTCCAAGTGGAGGATACACGTCTCTTTTTTTTTTTTTTTTTTTTTTTTTTTTTAGACAGAGCCTTAAGCTGTCCCCCTGGGTAGAGTGCCATGGCATCACAGCTCACAGCAACCTCCAACTCCTGGGCTCAAGCGAGTCGCCTGCCTCTGCCTCCCAAGTAGCTGGGACTACAGGCGCCCGCCACAATGCCCAGCTATTTTTTGGTTGCAGCCATCATTGTTGTTTGGTGGGCGTGGGCTGGGGATTTGAACCTGCCACCTTAGGTGTATGTGGCTGGCGCCTTAGCCGCTTGAGCCACAGGTGCTGTGCCTTGCCTCTCTTTTGGAACAGAGAATTCTGCAGGTCTGGTGTTTGGGGAACACACTTGGGAAAACTCCCGCCTCTGGGACCAGGTCTGTGCTTGCCTGCAAGGTATTGGAGGTCCTCGGGACCTTGCCTTCTCTCATCTCTTCAGAGCACCATCTGCTACTGCTCACACCTGGTGCTTCCAGACACCAAAGGACTGTGGTTCCTGGAATGATGTGTCCTCTCTGAGGCTTCTGCACCTTTGCCCTTGCTATTTCCTCTGCCTTGTCACTAACATCACAGGTCAAATGCCCCCTCTTCCTTGAAGCCTTACCTGACTACCCCAGATACTACACTCCTCTCCTTTTCTTCCCACCTACTTAGGCCCTTCCACGGTCACCAGCCAGGGATTAACCCCAGGTCCCTTTTAATTGGCTCTGACAAGGAAATAACAATCTATGAGAATAAAATCAGTTTGACTCTGTCACCCTGGGTAGAGTGCTATGGCATCGTAACTCATAGCAACCTCAAACTCCTGGGTTCAAGCAATTCTTCTGCTTCAGCCTCCCGAGTAGCTGGGATGACAGGCACCTGCCACAAGACTAGGCTTATTTTTCTATTTTTAGTAGAGACAGGGTCTTGCTCTTGCTCAGGCTGGTCTCCAACTCCTGAGCTCAAGCAATCCACCCGCCTTGGCTTCCCAGGCCTTTTAGTTATCATGTCATCTGAAAACACTTCAATGGAGACTCCCCAAAGTTGGAGAGTCTATTGGGGGCGGCTGGCAGCCCCCTCAGGAACAAGGAGTTGTCCTCCAGGGCAGCTGAAACTATTGGGCAGTAAGAAGCCTGAGAGACACTTTGCAGGAGACTCGAGCCACACAGATTAAGGCGCTGTAGGTAGAGAAGGGAAGCAGTGTTGTCAAAAAAAAGTCACCGAGTCACACAGGCAACTACAGCTGTCTCACTCTGCAGAAGTGGGTTTGCAGCGGGGGCACCTCTCACTGGGCAGCTCTGCAGGGTAGGCCCGGGGACAGCAGCCAGTTTGACTTATTTGCTAATGATTAATGAGGAGAGATTCTCCAGGGCTAGAGGAGGCCAGCTCAGACTGGGGAGGTGGGTGTAGGAAGGCTTCCCAGAGGAGGCGTCATTTAGTCGGAAACCTTAGGCAGCCAGAGTAGGGGGTGCTGGTCAAAGTGGGGGTGTGTGGTGAAGGGAGGGGAGCCAGTTCCAAAAAGAGGAGCCCAGGCTGGAGGTGTGAGAGCCGAGCCGCCTGGAAACTGTAACAGTCAGTGGGCTGGAGTGGCCAGCCGGGCTGGGCCTCACCCCTTCCACCGGGTGTCAAGACAAGTTGAGGTTGGGCCTTGTGCGATCCCGGTTTGTGGTGATGACACTCGAGGTTTGGTGGCTGCTTTCCAGAGACACAACAGAGGCGCCTTAATCTCCATGACACGTCTGCCTAATTCACTAGAGGCCAGGCCCTTCCGGGAAGATTTTCTGTGGGTAGATAACCCGGCCGGGTGTGGATTCCTGAACGTGTTAGTCACCAAGGAGCTGTCCTGACCTCTGCTGAGGGCTGGTCCTTTCCCACATTTGCCTCCCAGAGGGAGAAAGTCACTCTCCTGTGGCAGCTCCTCCTGTTTAAATTTGTCATTTAAACATGGAAATCATGCCTGAGAGCCTGTGACCGCTCAGCTACTCTTTGTCTGGCTACTGTAACACTTTCACCTAGACCCCTGTTTTCCAACCACGTTTGTCTCACAGCACACTTGAACTTGTCCTTGAGCTTCCATAGCACACTTAAATTATGTTGATTAAAAATAAGAGTAAAATAAAAGAATGTACTTACTGTGCTTTGGACTTTTTTTGAAACTAATTTAATTCATGCTCTTTAAAAATTTTGCCTTTCATGGTACACCAGTTGAAAATCGCTGACCTAGTCCGGCGGGAAAGGGGCCAGCTGCCAGGGGGAGCAGGTGGGCGATTCAGCCCCTTCCCAGACATTCACTGGGCCAGTCAAGGGCCAGGGGTTCTAGATCTGGCCTATCTAGTATGGTAGTACTAGTCACACTATTTACATTTAAATTAATTAACATTTAATAAAGTTGGGCAGCGCCTGTAGCTCAGTGAGCAGGGCGCCA